GATAAAATACTTAAGTAAATTTTGCGAAAAAAAAACATCGCAGCCGGGAGCTTGGATCTAAGCATATCGGAGTATTAACTATATCTTTAAATAGCTGTTATTGAAACAAATTTGCCCAGGAAATGGAGAGATACTGCGCGCTAAAAAGGGACCTTTGACGTGCCCTCTTCCACCAATGTTGCCGTCAAAAAATCGCCGCTTTAGGCACACTTTTTACGTGCTCTACGCTCAAGGACGCATGCACGTGGCTGTACAAGGCTGTTGATTGGTTAGACAGCCACGAGTGCAAGAGATTGCGGCACAAAAAGGCGGTCTGTTACGTGAGTATTGTACCTGGCGCGTATGCAAACGTTGACACGCAGGCGACCCCGGATCAATAGCCTCGTAGCAACTGATGAGCTAATTCACATACCTAGAAGGGCAGTCCGCGATGCCGCACACGAGGAATCTCGGTGCAAGCAGTGAGCGTACGTCAGCGTAACATGTCAAACGCGACGGCGCAAAAGACTGCAACGGCAGTGACATTTGCTCAATGATAAAAATGCCGCTAAAAACGCCGCACACCAAAAAGAACATGATTAATTGAACGCTAGTAAATTTTCTTGCGGCAAAAGTATAGGTAGTGTGGTTATTAGAAGAAATGTCACTGTTTGCTTAAAATTGTATTCCTTAAAGTTCCAGAATACGGATGTCAAGTTGAATTTATTAATACTAAACTTCACCATTAGCCAACCGAATGAACTTATGTTCATGAGGATAGAGACAGGAAGTGAAAATGACTGGTCAGTTTGAAGACTTACCCGGCGCTATAGTTATTTCAGACAAGTTCATTTAACAATGGACAGAGTCGGTAAGCCTATTAAGTAACTCATATAGTATACGCTTTCAAAAAAAAACAACCCTTGATTTTACTCATTGTTAAAGGCAACTTTGTGGTTTCTACGGTACTCTCACAAATTTGGAATTCAAGTGGCCCCCTTTCTTAACCCTGTGGGGACATGGTCTATTCTTCTCGAACCAGGCGGTTGCCTGCTTAACCTTGTCAGCCACTGCGCACGATTTCGCTTCCAGTCTTCTTCAATCTACTTTTAGACCGGGTCCAAATAGGATAAGGGGGAGCAGTGCAAGTCTCCTACCACCTTAAACTAATCCAGGTCCAGGTCACTGTCTCTGCACCGACCGGTGGTGTGAGGTGCACGATGACTATTGCCGTTAGCGACAGTCAAACAGTCATATTACAGATACCGAAAGATCGTCAACAGTGAGCATAGGAAGGTTCGTAAAAGTGGACCCCTGAAATTCTGGAATCATTGTGGGAATGGGGCGATATCCACGCTAAAGACATTTGTGACAGACAACAAAGAAACTAAGTGAGTTCAGGTGTAACAAGAACGCTTTGCTGCATGTATTCAACATTATCGAAGCTCGCGACGCTCGGTCGAAAGTCACGCAGTGTCAAGCAAGTTGCAGCGTAAGAAAACGAGGGAAGTTCGCTAAAGACGAAAATAATACAATTTATATGTTGCACTCGGTCGGACTCATACATGACAGCAGCTCTAACCAACGACGTGGCTCTATCCCCCCTCCCCCGTCCTGGGAATAGTAGGGGCTTAGTCAACAAATAAACTTTAGGTCAGCAAGTGGTATGATCTGACGCCCGTATAGCAAAAAGCTTTTGAAGAAGGATGGATGACTGGGACGTACCAGCGGCAGTGACAGGATCATTGGATGTCCAATGCTTCAGTAGCTTCCCGATAAAGGCAAGCAGACAGAATTTGTTGGCGGGTTTGTCTGCAGGTGGAAGTAGGAGGCCACAGCGTACGGACAGCGAGGACGCCAGAATGATAGGAATGCAGGAGTAGGCTGGTAGCCAAGTCCGTAAGGAGACACCGGGAGAGACGGTATGCGTTGTTGCGCCAATATTTCCAGCGGAGGGACGACGAACGACAGAATGAGGTTTCGCACTCCTGATGTTAGACCTCAAATAGTTTCCCGCTGCAGAGGAGAGCTTCTGTTGAGAGGAGGACTTAGGCAGACGCACGAAACCGATGGAAGTAGCAACCTGAAAGGTGGGAATTAGATCAGTCTTCGAAAATTCACGCCGGTAGACATGCACAACTTTTCAAAGGCAATAATGCCTGTCTTGGGGCAAGACAGAATATGAAATGGTTAGGACAGCAAGGATTGATGAATCAACTGCGACATAGATTGCATTTTTGGTTTATTAGGAGGAGAACTAGCCCTCATTGCACAGATCGACCAATTACTAGTGTCGCTAAGCGGGCCCGGGGCTAGGTGGATAAAGGGTTCGAGGCAAGGAAAGTTTAGTGCATATTTACGATTGGTAGAAAACCTGTATCCACCCTCATCGAAATAAAGCGCTTGATTCGTTCATCAAGTCTGATAAGAGTCACATAACGGACCCTTATTGAGCCGTAGTTGGCTGGATGTGGCTATGGGATCGCAATGGTGAGATACTGAAAATATGAGAGTACTGGGGCGATGCCTTCGTGCTCAATATTGCTGTTTATTGGCAACTTATCATACGTTGTATGTTTACTTCTTTACTTGTCCTCTTAACTCTGTCTTGACACCAGGCCGAAGTGGGAGGATGAAAGAGAGTGAGAGAGATGCAGAACGAGTCTATTCAAACTAGAATTCAGCACAAGTCACCGTCCCTGCACACTGCCATGGGGCACACGCTGGAACGCGTCGAAAGCGACGGTTGAATTGTTACTATTAACAGGGACCATCAGCCGCGAAAATATCAGAAGTTGATCTTTCTGTCAGTTAGTGCGCAGAAATATGTTCAAACACGGATGTAGAACGCTCATACGCAACTGTACTCTGTAAAATGGGTGGATATCGAAGAAGCTTCGAGTTAAGGGAGTATCTGTTACCTCTTTGCAAACTATTCTGGCCGCCTATAGTGAAGTGGTGCTGAATGCATTCATAGTAATTTTCCCCTTGATAAAAAATGGTCCGTCGACGCAACACAACCACAGCTTTGGTTGATATGACATGAAGGCGACATAACAGTTCACCGCCAATAAGGTGACAGACCTAAGACATCGCGCGGATAAGTCACTGGGAGGGTGAGAATAGCTTCGAGGAAACGGCATACATGTTAGACTAACTTCCAGTGCGTTCATGGGTGGCGCATGGTGGAAAGACATTCAGAGAAGAGGAGGCTCTTGTGTCTGACGACTAATCTGTCGCAAAACATGCGGCGGTAACACCTTAAGGCGTGAGTGAACACCAATCAGACGTGTAGGCTAACCTGTGAAATGGTCACAATCCATAGTAATATTACATGGTAAATTGTGTTCGGCATCCATTAAGGCTTCGTCTACCGTCCCGGAGATCGTAAAAACTGGATTCGTGTTGTATAGGAGTAGATTGAGACAATAACCTCCGAATACAGGGACTTAAGGAACCCATGCCACCCAAAACTATCGTTGGCTGACGATTCCCTATTCAAGTAGTATTTTGGACGATCAAATGATTGTAGTCCGCGCGATCTGATCGGCTAAGACGAATATTAATGATACCGGAAAGAGCAGCTCGGAGTCCCACGACAACAGCAACATCCACCTGGACTACTGCAGTGCACAGAGGCAGTGTGTGATGCCTTATTTGTCCACGGGCGAATACGACGGTAGTCCAAATATCTGATTCCAATGTCTATTTTACTAAGATAATACAGTCTCTTCGCGAAGCAAGCTTTCAATAATGGCCCAGTGCAGGGGTCGGC